ATCTCTTTACTTCTTAGCACCAGCACCTACATGTCTCTGATGGCTTTAAAATATGCTGGCTAAGTCTATCTACCTCAGGTGAGATTGACAACTGTAAATATAGTAAAATAGAATCCTCAGGAATACTTTTCCCTTAGTGCATTGGGAAAATCTCCATAAGGTAAAAGCACACACACTGTTTAAGAAATTCCCTCCCACACAGACCTGACTGCAAGATTAAAATGAACACTGGTCAATCAATAATCTTCTTGCCACTTACCCTATCATTTTTCTCTAAAATGTATTATTTGTTTCTGGGAATCAAACCTAAGGCCTCATACACACTAAGGATGAGTTCTATCCCTTGGCCACACCCACAATCCCAAATTGGTTTTGGTGTCTGAAGTACCAAGTGTAAAATATAAAAGTAGGTGCCAAATGACCATTTTAAAATGAATCAAATAAAACCACTATGGGATTTTAAGTTTACAGTTTTTGTCAGAAAACAACTTTGATATCAGCAAAAAACTAGGTGCTCAAAAACGATCTACTAAATTGGATAAATTTTTATTTCTGATAAATAATTTCAATAATACAACAAAAATATTATTTCTTGCGTTAAAAACAACAACAAATGGGCTGGGGATTTAGCTCAGTGGTTCCACCGCCTGCCCTGGTACCAAATAAAACAAACAAACAACAAATAATCAGGTCTGCAACTTTGTCCTTATTTATTGAAATGCTTTTCCATCAAGATCAGCCCTGAAGGATTCCTTTTACTTATCTGTCACAACAATCCTCTCTCCTAACATCTTTCTCCTAAATGTACATAAACTCTGCTTTCACTACTTATAAAACTTATTTACAAAATTTTTACTTCAATACAGTTCATAAAGATGTCTCTTCTTCAGGTAAACCAGTGATAAATTCGTCCTTTAAAAGAGGGAGATAGATCTTTCGCAAAGGAGAAGAGAGGAAAGGTGTTACATACATGTACCAACATGGTGAGTGCAAACATCATGTACTGTAAATATGTGCTAATAAAAATCAAAATTTAAGGAAGAAAACTAAATGTGACCTTTAATCTCAGTTGCTTTTAGTCCTTTGTTGGTAAACTTCAATCTCCACAGTAAAACTACAAACCAGGACAAACTCAGGGTAAACTAGATATTTACAGACTCTGATTTGATGACCCAATAGCAAGTCAGAGTGCTATTAAGTTATCTAAAAAAGGTACACTCCACACCTCTCTGAACAAAAACATCAGTCAATCTGGGAAACAAAGGTCAAATAAGACACATGCAGCTATCTTTCTGCCCCCCTCTAGCGCCCACCACGGGCCACATTGAGAACTGAACCCAGGACTTTCACACTGAACTATATTCCATTGTTTAAAAAAATTGAGACAAAGTCTCACTATGTCACTTAAGTGCCCAGGTTGGGATCAAACTCATGAAGCTCCTGCCTCAGCTTCCCACAGTGCTGAAATTATAGGTGTGTACCAGTGTATGTGAATTTGTTCTGCCTTTGCTTTAGAAGTCCTATACCTTTTAAAAATAAGAATATATGTTATAAGGTACAATGACTTCTCAGACAAATAACAAAAAGAATGTTTGGTATGGGGGGTGTTAAGAAACCAATCCAATGGTTTGTCTAAAACTATCATTATGATTCGAAGACACTGTTTTTAATTAGACATGAAACAAATTGAGCAGCTGTCTCAAGGTCCATTTATTCTGGGTAGCCTTTAGATAAAATCCTATGTACTATCCATTTTCATAATGGTCTTCTCCTTAGCCAAGAGTAGAATATCTCACAATAATCGAACCCCTAAATTTTAGGTAGCATAGTATTTTTATACAACCAAAGTTAAGATGAAACAGATGTTGTAATAACCAGGTATGATAGTGCACACCTATACTCCTAGCAATCCAGAGGCTGAGGCAAGAGGATTGCCACAAATTCAAGGACAACCTAGGAATACACAGTAAGTTCAAGGCCACCCTGAACTACATAGTGAGAACCTATCTTCAAAAAAAAACCAAACCAAAAAACAACTCGAACAAAAACAAAAAATCCAGATGTTATAGTTGTAAGAATAATAACATGTACTCCTCAAGCATGTACAGACCTTCTGAAAAACCAACATGAATGTATTTAAATAGAGATAGTAAGGAGATAGTCCATGTTACCTAAATACCTAGAACTTACCCTGTGCTTAAATCACTGAAGTTAGTAAATAAAAAGTACATATTTTAGAGAATGTGCTTCTATGTGAAAGAGTGAGATGAAGATTACTATATGATCAAGAAATTCTGAAAAAAATTTGTTTTTGTCAAAATGGTACAATGCCTGAGTAATTTCTTGGTTTCAACAGACTAATACTGACAGATTAACACACAGATACCTAAAATATAAACTCCAGTCCCAAATTTAAATAAAGTATTTTCACTGTAAGAAATGTTCTATCAAAAGCTGTAAGTACATCACATTAAATTTTATCTATGTACCTCCGAAAAGTAATTAGATTAAAAATGATTATACCAGAAACAGGTGACCCAAAGGAAAGTATGCCATTGAACAATTAAAAGCACAATGCAGAAAGCTGTACGAAATGCTGGAGGGTAATATAAAATAATGAGGCTCAACAAAGGAGACACCATGCTGGTGATTATCTCTAAACAACAAGCAATCAAAGTCTAAGATAAGCATCTTTCTAGTATACTGGAGACTCCAATGTATAATGTTTTTAACACTTCCTGGTTTAAGAGCTATTGTAAAATTTATTAGACTCTTTTAAATATAAGAATCTAAAATAGAATTTTTACCATAAATTTATTTCCATAAAGAAGCCAAATCATTCTGGCTCAAATGTTAAACATCAGCAGGGACATACTTCTATAAATAACAGTCATCCTATTAGAAAACGTATATGGAGGTTCCACAACAAAACATTATTCATTCAAAAAATGTGCTGGACAACATATACTCCTCATTCAAAAGGGGTCCAAACCATCTGAGAGGTACTTGAAGAAATAATTATTCAGGGAAGTTCAAGTATTCATCCATGGAGTGTCTTTAGCTCAAAGCTAAAGAAAGCTGTGCACATGTTTCATTTTTCTGCCTGTCTCTCAGAAAGGAACCCTGGTTTTGAGAAGGGAAAATAGGCTTAGAAGAAGTAATAGAGCTTAGCCACCAAGAATTCCTTTGTCTACTCAAAAGGTTGGCACTTTCAGGCAGAGGCTCAAGACCTCAGAGCAATATCTTAGTCACTCCAAGGATGTTATCTCTAATATAAACAGACTGAGGGCAAAAATCTAATTTGCTACTCAAAAATCAACTTTAAAATTCTTTTTGCAGCAGAGTTAAAGAAAAATATGGATGCAACACTTCACTGAAGTTTCTCCTCCTGAACAACTCTATAGAGAACTAAAATGTTACATGATAATATGGAATCCTGCTTCAAACAATAGGACTGAATATGCCAACTTCTAAAACCATGTGGCAACTGTTTTGGCAATATGCATTCCGGGTAACTAGTCACTTGACAATAAAACATTAATAATATAGTAGTTTAAGAATGTTTTAAAAGGCCATCAAGACCTACTCTTGGAATCTTGAATAAAAGACTTCAGGTTTAAAATATGCAATAATTCTGCTGCCAGCATCATAAGCACAAGGACCTGAGTTCGATACCTGGTACCAAAAAAAAAAAAAAAAAAGGCAACATTTCCAGGAAAGTAAATAACTGCTGACCAGCACACTTTGTTAGCACTCACAGATTGAGACTATCAAAAATTACCCATTTAAATTACTTATCTCAATATCCCTTTCAGTGCAGGGAAGCAAGGTTACAGATTACTCATTTCTGGGTTTCTTTCTACTAGACAACCATATTTGCCAAGTTAAAGCAGAGAAATAAGAATGAATCCTCTAAAGAAGTCATCTACAGTAAAAATTACTGTGCAGCCCTGGGAAGGGGAAGCTCAGCAAGACACAAAGCACAATCCACTGACCAACAGATGAGAAAGCTACGAAAATGTACAAGCTATGTTAGTTTTGAAACTTAAAAATAAATACTGAGAGAGAGTCAGAAGCAGAAGGTTTGGTCATTTAAAAGAGACCTTCACAAATCAGTTCTGTGACAGTTTCCATTTTCTTTCACAGTTTAAGCCTCAATCAAATCAGCAGTCTCCAGGGATTCTGAAATCACTACAGATTAAAATCCTCTCTGACTTAACTGTTTAAATAATGCTGAGTATTTAATAATTCTACTTGTGAGAGACTTTTTGGACAAAAATCTTGCTGAATGCTACTGTCAGATGTTCTGCAGCTGTACCATAATGCAAGGCATCACTGTCTTTATTTTTTCTACCATCCATCTTAAAGACGAGAAAATATATTATTAGCAGCAGCTCTATTATTTAGCAAGCTTCGCTGAAAACACTGTTAAGGTAGCAACCATCATGTACAAAGGCACAGGTCTCCTTCCAGGAGATACATATGATACATATTCATAGTTTGATTCCAAGAATAGAAAATTAATAATTGTGATGGATAATTTAGAAATTGTGAATGTCTAAACTTTATACTTTTAATAATCAAACCATTCAAGCTAAAGCATTTGGACCTTCTCTACATCCACAGATCAACAGGTTTGATACTCAACAGGTTGAGTAAATTGAATCCATATATTGTATTTATGTTCTCTGTCAAAGTTGCTTCTCTACATTTCAGTGATCAAAGGAAAACAGTCATCAACCCTGTAGCCTTCAATACTATGTTCATTACATTTAATCAAGTGCCAACTCCACTGCGTCGTTTACCAGGCTTAAGAATGTTTAAATGCACAGCACTGTCTGGTAACAAATACGAGCATAGTAGTGCATTAAAATACAACCCCCAAACAAAATAACAACCCAGAAAGGAAGGCAAATGATATCACCTTCTGTGGTGTGCAAGAAAATAAACTTAAAAATGCACAGAAATGCACAACAAACATTTGGTAGGAGATTTTCTACCTGAGGCAGCATCAATCACTGTGGAAACTCCCCTTCGATCAGAGACTGGACGGGATGACCCTGGCATGCTGACTGGGTCTGAGCGGACTGGTTGGATCCTGCAATGCAATTTAATTTAAATCACATATGTTACTGGCATGAAAACTATAGCTTGCTACCACAGACTTTAAATCAGGCATGTTGGAATACCCAATCCATTAAAGAACCATTCATTCTAAAACCAGACAAAAAGGGAACTGCAGTCCCTAATTCTTGCACACAGTTAAAGCACTACATTTTCTTCACTTCAGACTCCTTCTAACTTATTTCTTAATGTTTTTCAATATATTTTTAAGTAAGGGATTGAAAAGCTGACATTAATTTGAAGAGAAAAAATAAGTGGAATAGGACAGGAAACTATAATGAAAACAATTGGAATTTGCAAGGAATATATATGAAGAGTTCTGAGACTTCAAATTAATAAATGGCATTACAGCTAGTAATTAAGTGGATAAAGGCAGCAATGTCTGATTCAAAATTTTAAGAAATTTCCTTATAATCATCAGTGCAAGTTGTTTTATATATGACAGTAAGTATAGGACAACAAAGCTGTGTTGTGGGTACAAGGATTTACTGAGGATCTCTAATAACTGAGTAACCCAATAAAACTACCAATTAGCATGTGATTCAGTTCAGACCTCAGCAAAACTGCAATTTACAACATATACACAATTTCAAGTAGCTTAAGAGCAATTAACATACAAATACCAAGGATCTCTTTCCAGCTGAATTAGAATAAATACTGTACTACGAACATAAAAATATGTGTATGATTACAATGTCTTGGCATCCAAGGCAATTTATAGAAAAAAAAACTTGTTAGAAATATATATCTCATGCATTTTGGGTGATTAATTCACACAATAAGTGTTTACTGAATATTCACTGTATATAACATTATTTGGGGAACAAGCAGAAACAAAACATGAAATACAAGGTCCATATGCAAACATATGACATAGCACATGGAAATTCATGAACTGTTGCTGAAGAAAATTAAAGTTCAGAATAAGAAGATAACATAAAATTTAAGACCTCAGAATAAAGGGGAGGATACAGTCATACAGTGCATAATTATTTATGGGTCAACAACAGACTGGTGGGCAGGTAAGATTATATTGCCTGGTAATGTAGCCATCCTAATTTGTGTGAGTATACAACATGATGCTCACACAATGACAAATTTACCAAATGACTGATTTCTTGTTAAGTATCACATGACCATCTATGTATGGTCCATATCAGATCTTATAGATCTGGAATGGGAAGTGTGTCTGTATATAGTACAACTAGTCCTCCATATCTGTAGTTTCAGATTCTGTGGATGAAACCAAAAGTGGACCAAAAATTATTATTATTATTATTATTATTATTATTATTTTTTGGTAATGGAGATCGAACTCAGGACCTTGTGCTTGCCAGGCAGGCACGGTGCCAATGAGCTAAATCCCTGGTCCTGGACCAAAAATATTTAAAAAAACACAAATCAGTATCTCTTTTGAACATGTGTAGACATTTTTCTTGTCATTATTCTCTAACCATACAACATTTTATATAGTATTTACATCATATTAGGTATTATAAGTAATCTACAGATTATTTAGAAGATGTTCCAAAGTTATACACAAATACTACACTACAATAAAAGGACTAGAGCAATCCCCTGTGAGCAGAACCACTGTAATAGGAGATGTATAGATGATGAAGAGCAAGAAGTGTCCTTTAGGCATAAGGTTAGTACAAGCACAGCCTTAAGTTCGGGACTGAGGATGAGAAATGCAGGGGACTTTAAAGGCATGATTTGGCTGAAGTATAGATTTCATACATATTACTGGTGGGGAAAAAGAATTTGATAAGAAACATGAAAGAGATTCTAGAAGTCTAAAATGCCAAGTACCAACTGCAGACAAAGATTTTTGAATGTATGTTGGTTGTGGGAAAGAAATGGGAACAAGAAGTAGGATGATGCTCTTCACCTAGTATAAGATGTCAAAAATACTGATACACAAATATTAGCCATAGCTATAGAGTACTATCCAATACTCCGCTTCAGTTTGTTTTCCTAAAGTGGTCATGCTAATCCCATCATATTGTGGCAATGATTAGTTAGCTCTGGGATGGGCAAGCCTAACCAAATGGGGCAGTAAGAAAAGGATAGCCTGGGCCAGGGATTTAGCTCAGTGGTTCTGCCCCCTGTCTTGTAAGCGCAAGGACCTGGTACCAAACAAACAAACAAAAAAAAGAATAGCTCTGGCTTCTGGAAAAAAAGTTTTTTTATTCAGAACAACAAGAAGCTAGCCTGTTAAATGTGTTCATCAAAAGTAAAGCTCCCTTCTGATTTAAACTGCTTATGTGGACTAATGTAGTTCCTACTGTTAATTTATACTGGGGTTTCAAAATAATCCAGAGTTGTAATAGGAATAAAGATTGGCCAAGAATTGATGTGCTGAAGATGGACTGGTATCAAATATATAGGGTTTTTTTCTATTCTTTTTTGGGGGGCGGGGGCGGGTACTGCAGATCAAACTTGTGTTTGCAAGGCTAGGAGGCTACCACTGAGCTAAATTTCCAGCCCTTCTATTATTCTTTTTAATGTTAGGAGAGGAATGGAAGGGAGGGGAAGGAGAAATAGAGTTTAGATGTCTTATGTACCTGTACCAACTTCCCACATGAATGTAACCATTACGTACTGCAAACTTGTATAATAGAAAATTTTACAATAAAATTCTTTGATAATTAAAAAATAAACTGGTAGAATGATGGAAACATTCTGGAATTAGATAGTAGGGGTGGATGTACAATACTGGGGATATACTAAAAACTAATATATTGTCATCCCCTCCCTCTTTTGATGCTGGGAATCAATCCAAGAGCCTCAACCATGGAGGTACACACTCAAAACCTATATGGTACACTAAAATTGGTGAGTTTTAAGTTACGTGAATTATAGTTAAAATACAACAAAATACACTGTTACCAATTTTTGAAGAGTGGAAAGAAAGGAGTGTATATTCAGCTTCTTTTACATTGCATGTTTTCATTGAACTGCACATTATATTGTATTCATTGAATTGTATATATTGTATTTCATTAAGTTTTTGTTTGTTTGTTTGTTCATTTTTGAGACAAGGTCTTACTACCTAGTTAGGCTGGCCTTGAATTCACTAGATACCCCAGGCTGGTCTTGAACTTGTGGTGGTCCTCCCTGCCTCAGTCTCCCGAATGCTGAGATTACAGGTGTGAGCTACCACATGCAGCCTCATTGAGCTTTTCTTACATTATAAATCACTGCTCTGCGTGAAGAGCTGCCATGAGGTTAAGTCACACTCAATTCCTATACAGATGATAGGCAACAAAATATGCGGCTATTCCCACTTAGGATAGGATGTAGGTAGGTATACTACTGTGCAATACATATTTTCAGTGATACTTTATGGGGCACAGGGCATTAACTACGGATCAGTTCAGACAAAAACTGAAACAAGTACCTGACAATTTAAAGGATAAGGTCAATGTTCTGCTATAGTGCCACTGTGCACAGACCTGAAGGCATGTGCATGTCCTATAGAAGAGAAACTGGAATAAAGCCATAGCTAACAATGTGCAGAATTTAAATAAATGTATTTCTAATTGGATGCTGACTGGAAAATGGTACTAAATGGGGCAATTAAAATTGATATGAATCACAGGCAAATTTCTCATAATTGTCCTATTATGGGCTTACAATCTTAACCAATATTTTAACCAAGCCTATCTGATCAAATTTTGACATATAAATTACAAAAGCAATTAAAATTAATTTATAAACATTCTGCCCAACGTAGCTGTTTGTAATATCCAATGAATAGGACAATATTTTAATCAAACATAAATAACTTAAAGTCATATAAATGAAAAAATACTGGGAGCTCTTTCATACAAGAAAAAGGGAAATCCCTGAGGAAAGTTCTGAAGAATGTTGGAAATATGGCTACACCCAAGAAGCACATTAGAAAGATTCTAGAAAAGTTTTAGAAAGATTTTAGAAAACAGACTATATCTAAGGTGAAGAGTAACGGAGAAAGCTGGAGGTCTGAGGGCAGTCACCAAGAAAAATAGTGACAGGGTTTCATGCATTTACAGGGGAAGAGAATAAATAGGTTACATAGCTGTAAAGACAATAAATGGGTCACGTACTTCAAAAGCTTTATTATTAACATTTAAGTAACTAAATGACTGTTGAAACATGAATAACTACATTGCATTACCAAATTAAAAAGGGCTGTCTGGATGTGACTCCCTGTGGATGGCTTGACTACCTAACCTAGACCACACCTTACAAATACCAACACTGAAACTGGTCTAGCACCCACAGTACTATGTCATTGTTGTCTGATTTCTTGGGGAAAAGGTGCCATTTCTAGAAAGTTGAAAATAATATGTTGGACAAAAAAAGCAAAAATATGAGGAATAAGAAAAACACAAAACAAACTAAAACTGTATCCCAAAATGGACACTAAATAAGAACTTAAAACAAGTTCCTTTTTAGGAACAATTATTTAAGAAGATACACTGTTGGGGAGAGATGTAAAAAGAGAGATAAGTTAGAAGCATACTGTAAGACATATAGTTTCTAGGGTGCCAACAGTGGGACTAGGTTAGGTTTTGAATATATTTTGGAATTGAATTATCCTAACTTGAAGAATTAGATGTGGCAGATAAAGCAGATGTCAAGAAAAACCCCTAGATTCCAGCTTGAGGGTCAGGTGGTTTGAGGAATCAATTAAAGTGATGAGAAAGGACAGAGGAACAATAGGACTATAGTGTGAGAGAAGAGTTACAATTCAGACATGATAGGTACTGGATGATTTAGACACCATTGAGAAGAAAAATAAAATAAGCAACTGGCTATATTCAAGATATGGCTCCCAGAATCCAGTCAAGTAACTGGCAAGTCTTCAACAAATAAAAAAGATCAACAAACAAACAAAACAGGCCTTGCAACAACTTTGGTTTTATTATGTAATTTTCTTGTTGTTGCTGACAAAGGGATAGATAAAAACATATTTCCAAAATGTGATTGGAATATATATTTGCCTATTACTTTAGAGACATGAAAGAAGGTCGGATGGCTGGTTTATATTCATATGTAGACACTTGGGTGGGGGGTGCTGGGGATCAAACTCGGGGCTTTGGGCATATTAGGCAAGTGTTATACCATGGAGCTACATACCCAGTCCTAGAATATTTTTTTAAGGGAAGACAAGGAAAAGTAGATTATACTACATTAGACTGAGCCCTTCATTATTGCCTGCAAATTAACTTGTTGGTGTATCAAATTAAATGGCTAAGCAAACATGAACCTGCAAAAGTGAAAAAAAAAATCTTAATTGTATTATGATTCTGGCAAGTAAATATCAGAGAATATATATTATGAAAATATTATAAATGACAAATTATAAATGAATATGTAATAACACTTTCTCATACAAACTTTTTAAAAAATAATTTAAGAGAAAGAAGAAGCAAGATTACACGAAAGTCACAGATGAGATTTAACTGTAAGGTGATGTTAACTTCAAAAAGATAAGGAAAAGAAGACATAATAAATTTGAAGCATGTAGCACAAACTGGGATGGCTTTCAAAACGGCATTAGATTTAGAGCAGATGCCTATAATCACAGCTCTCTGGGAGGCTGAGGCAGGGGATTGAAAGTTCGAGCCCACACTGGGCTAAAGTTTAGAGACAATGAATTACACACAGTACACGTAGTTGGTAACATGATATTGTGTCAAAGGGTGAAATGTAAATATTATATGGGAAGTTCATTTCAAATGAATATATCAATCCAATCGTGTTATTCAAATAACTCTTCAGTTCATATTTCCTACCTGAGACTGTTGAGATCAAGATCATCTGTATCAAAATCCAAAAGAGGCTGTGGAGTATCACTGGGACCATGAGACTGCAACACAGATGAACTGGATGATATGACTGTGGTTTGGCCTGAAGGGTGGATGATTTTGAACTGAAACTGTGGACCCATCCACAGACGTCTGTGGGGTCCAGTGTGTGTTACAATTTCGACCTGGAAAAGTTAGAATCATGATTTAAATGTACTATGACTTTCTTAACCTTTCATAATCCCCCATCCCATCTTTTAGCATGCATGTTCTCCATGAAGTATATACTAATAAAATGTGAGAAAGTCAAAGTATCCACAATTAAAAGATGTTCATAATCACAGACTACAATCACTGTATCACTCTCATATAAATATACATACATACACATGCACATTAATATACAACACCAAAATCAAGTGAGTAAAAGGACCGGCTGCCTGCCTCATACAACTAGCATCTGTTCTCTAAGTACCTTTTTCATTTATCCAAGACAGTACTTACTATATTGTGAGCATGTACTTAACACTATACCTATTAATCCCCACAGATTAAAAGTAATTCTTTCACTGAGGATCAAGCTCATGAAAAACCTCAATTTGTTCTTGAACTATCCAAGGGAAGAAAAGGTCTGAAGTAATTTTTAACACCGAAAGCCAGTTTCCTTCACAATACAGTATTATAATAATTATATTGTATTCAATATCTCCAAAAATCTACTTTTAAACGAAGAAACTATTATTTTTCCTCAAAGTAGATTGTTTTGTTCTCAATATTTTCACAATGGGTGCAAACTTTGACACAGAATTTTATGTCTAGCAAAGCAGCAATACAAAATTGCTTTATAAATTTTATGCTTGATGGAAGGGGCTGGAAATGTTTCCAATATTATATTAAACACTATATTTTTTAAAAAGGACATAGTAGAGGAATATTGGGTGAAATCTGAAAATGGACACATTTCATGATTTTACAAATAAGCAATTTAAATAGGAGAAGAAATATATAAGCCTTTGGTGGAAAACTACTGTATTTCTTACTGTCCTTGCTGTATCTGTATCTGTGCACTTTCTGGAATTGACTTCCCATGTGCCTCAAGTCTTTGCTCTGATTCTTTTATATTTAATCACATTTCTCTGATGGCAGCAATTAATTCTTAACAAAACATAACTGAAACGGTTCACAGAGTGTAGCTCTGTGTTTGAGTCTGAAAGGGCAAAAGCATCACGGTCTTGGAACAATATTCACATTCCCACTAATCACAGGGAGAAAAACACTAAGATTGAGGACAGTGATTTCTGATTCAAGTAGTTGTATTCAGCAATGTAAATTAGGCCACAGATAAAGCGTTCTGTGTATTTTAAGCTCAAAACCATCAGTGTCACAGAGCCGAGAGGTAAACAGATGCCTGTGCAATTTCACTGAGGTGATGGCCAGATGTTCCTATATTCCTCTCCTGTTGTGTGCAGGACAAACATATTGTATATACTTTCACACTGACAGCACATATTACCTCTCCTTCTAATTGAAAAGCTGAAGTGAAGGACAGTAGATTCTTTGCCAGGAAAATTTTGGGTAAAATTTTAATTTTGGAAAAAGCACAAAAAAGGATGAGTCTCCATCTGACAGGATCTGAAGCTTCATTCAAGGAGCTTCCCATGAATATTTGTGGTGTGATAAAATAAAAACATGCTAGAAACTCTTTTCATTCTCCAATTTCCAGATCCACTTCAGTTTTTCAGGCTAGCCTCCCTAAGAAGACAATGAAACTACAAAGGGTCTCCACTTTTTCCTAGGCACCTGTCTGAGGAAAAGCTGCCAGATTGGTAATCTGAGACAGGTCATTAACTTCACCAAATGATGTCAGACTTGAGGCAGACATAACAGTATTTGTAATGAAGTCATTTTTAATCTCACCATTTTGAAATCTGCCCAAATATCTTTTATTTCAAAGCTCTTAGATGAAGACAGATTAACCTGACAAGGTGAGGAACAGTCAGTTAAAGCTGTTGTTACAGGACTGGTTTAGAGACCACTCACTGGAAGCAGCATTCTGTGCACTTAGGAAACTCAGTCATGCACTATCAGAACTTGTGCTCAGTGCAATGTTGAACTTCTATAATGAAAGTATGAGCCAGCCCATCCTCAGAAAATGTTAGTTCCAAAAGGCAAATCCCAATATTGCTGAATGGCTCCAACTTTTTTTGTTGTTTTTTGGTACAGGGGATCGAACTCGGGACCTTGAGCCTACAAGGCAGGCAGTGGAACAACTGAGCTAAATCCCCGGCCAGCTCCAATGTTTTAGCAAGGAAAAATCTTACTTTAAAACTGATGAAAATATATTCTAAAAAGAGTCTGCTGTCTAAAATCCAACATCTCAAGGACTTTAAATGGGTTGTTTCAAAGAGATGCACATTTTATGCCCACTATATTAAAGCTAATAAGATATATATGAATAAAACATATTTACATAATATATGTATGTGTAATATACATGTGTATACTTGCAACAATATTTCTGAGAAAGTCTTAATATAGAAAGATAATTGATTAATCTTGATGATTCAACCAAAAGTTATCAGTTCTCCCCCATTTTCCTCTAAGAAAAAGAATAAAAACTGATATAGGGACTGTGTTTTCTTTTACATTAATATCCCAAATACATTAGAATATTACCTGTGAAAGCCACTCTTCATCTTCCTGTCCACTATGGTCAGAGCCTAAGCTGTCATAGGACCCATGTCGAGTAATGGGCCCAGGACTTCCAGGGGGTACCACTACAGGAGAAATAAAATGGATTTAAACCACTTTAATTCATGCAATAGACAAATGTATGTGAACACCTCAAATACTGTGCTAATTTATAAGATAAAATATGACACTAAAGAACAGAGGCAATTCACACGATTAATGAACAAATATAACTAAAGTCCTCATGCACGTAAGAAAAGTTTCCAACAGCATACTTCAAACACTATCTGCAAGACTAGCCAGGCATGGTGGTGCATTCCTATAGTCACAGATACTTGGGAAGCTACAATTACCAGCAACACTTGAGTCTAGGAGCTGGAGAACATCCTGGACAAAGTAGCAAGACTCTATCTCAAAAACAGACAAACCCTAGAGGAATTTAGTAAAGGCATCTTACCACTATAAAATAAAAAATTGCATGTTAACACCAAAAGAACATGAAGAAGCAGTTGACAAATCTATTCACTGAGGAGATTAAAAGACCATTCAAGAGTTTCATGTGAATGATAGGCATAAAATGATATTTAACTAAAAGACACTTTCAGTTGCTAAAAAATTTTCATTTGTCCAAATAAATATGTCACTTTCTTGGATATTTCAACAGTGTCCCTGATCTTAAGTGGTATTATACAAACATCCTGCTTTCTTATATAGAGAGGACCTTTGCTTAGTGAAAGTAATAAAATGATTAGTCAAATGTTATCTCATCAAAATCTTAGCATCCTCTTTGGAAGGTATACACCATCTATCATCTATCTAACTATCCTTACCTACTTACCTATCTCTAAGAAATATTTTATTTTTTAGAGTAGTCTTAGGTTCACAACATAAGAAAGTACATAGATTCCCTATATACTCCTATTTCCCATTTTCATACTCACAAGAAATCAAGAATTAAGAGTAATGGAGGAACAGAGAAAAGGAAAAGTGGCAGGTGAAAGGGAATAGGAAACAAAAATAAATAAGTGAAATAGAAAAGAATGAGAAAAAGAAAACAATATCATTTCTACAGTGGTGAGATATTTGTATATATGTCTACATTCACATTCCTAAAATGAAAGATGATGTGGAACATTTAAAAAAATAATAATACACATTCCCAGAAAGAGCTAGCTACACACTTCCATGAACAGTAGAGGAGAATGTCAATCTTAATGCACCCTTGCCAGAACAAGGTATATAGAAGAACTACATCTTAATGAAATAGATACAAATGAAATGGACAAAAAATTTAAATTTTAAAAGACATATGTTCACAAAAAGATCACCTTAACATGCTACAGGAAGAGAAATGGGACCTAACTGAGGCAATTACTTGACAGAAATGTATACACACAGTATAGTGTCGGAGTGTAAGATTTGCAGTGATTAAAACTGTTACCAGTAAGTTCCTCAATTGGCACAAAACACAAGTGAACACAAAAGCATACACCTAAATTCTTGTGATGGTGAGTGCTTTCATAAAGAAAAGAATACCATAATAATTATCAATTACTATTTAAGCATTCTTTTGGAAATAATGTTGTTAACTGATGTTTTCAAAAAGCAGAGTGGTCTACAAAGTATTCATCACCCGTATAATAAATATATCAGATATCAAATTCTTAATACCAACAGATGAGGATCCTTCAAATTCCCACCTTTAATCAAAAAGTTGCATATGGACCAAAACCTAGAAGTTAGGGTATGCTTTGGAAAGTAGACAAAGGCAGAGATGATTTTAAAGAACTGAGGGAGTAAGTTAAGAAGATATCTGAGGCCAAGTCTTATTAAGGGAAGATTAAGTACAAGGACTTTGAGATGAAGTAAAAAGAGAATGTTTTAGTAAGAGCCTGGAGGCCACCGTAGCTGGGTGGGGTAGGCCAGGTAGTGAGAAGATGAAAGGGAAGGAAGAAGGATCAGCAGCCTTTAAAGGACTTTTTGGGGGGGATGGGGGTGTTATAAAGCTACAGCAACATGGCACTGAAAAGCTTTAAGTCGGTATGAGAAACAATGCCCTTGTGTACGTAACTATCACCTAATGTGAATGTCTCCAAGTGTGTATGTTGTATGCTGCAATATCCTAAGCCTAGTCTAGTACTTGTCATAGAATAAGCACCTAATAAGTAGTAACTGGATGGATGGAGTCTTGCATTTTGAATTAGGTAATGATACCAGAATGGAAGGATGCTTATTGATCTATCATCAAAATGTGTATAATAGGATGTTTGGAAATAGCTTCAAAATAACTCAAGGGCATAGAATGGGTTGGAGAGCACAATTACAGACAGAGCAAGACTAGTCATGAGTTGATCTTTGTTGAAATTGGCTCATAGGTAAATAGAGGTTTATTACACTATTGTTGTATGGTTTTGTGTATGTTTGGAATTTCCCACAATGAAAGGGGAGGAGGAAAAGGAGGGGTAAGGAAAAGAATACTTTCTGTCTTCATCTGCTTTCCAAAGGAAGTAGTAAATATACCAAAATATACATCTAAGAAACAGTACCATAAATCTGAACCTCATACTCCTAGAGATTGTAAGAAGGGATTCCATGCCTTCTATTCACGAGTTTTCTAATTAAGAATGCTTTGAAGCCATCAGAAGACGGATGTTATAAAAACATCCTGGAGGTAAAATACTTTTCAACACTAAAATTTCCCCCAATCCAGGTAGAAAGAACACTCTTTGCTCACCACCTTGAAAAAATAAGTGAAAACTTCGAATCTGGGATTTAAAAAAAAAAAAAACCCAGCAAAAGAAAAGTAGAATAGCAGAGCTTGCATGCTCGCTAACTACCCAATTAGTAACAGTGGCACAGTCAAAAGTAGAGAAGAGAGGGTCCCCAGGGAGGGGTAGGGAACAACTGCTGTAAAAATGACAGTCTCAGCCTTGAGCAGGGTTCTGGGAAGCGCCAAGTGATACCTCGTAGTAGGTGGTTTGGACATAGTGGGTCTGTACTGCCCAGTCTGTGACAACACAGGTGAGAAGAATGTGTACAAGAGTAACAAAGAGATAGTCCAAAGAAGTGACAGGATTTAAAGTAGGGACAAGAACAAATGCTGCAGAGACCTACTTGACCCTATCACCAATAATCTGAGTGGGAATCGGGTTGTCTCTGTGGTGGCAATGATAAAATGTCCCCAACTCTTTATGTCATCGTTGTATATTCTACTAAGAAACTTTACAAGGGGTTACAGTTGTCAGAGATTAATTCTCCCATACTTTTATTTATTTTTTGGTACCGGGGATCGAACTCAGGTCCTTGTGCTTGCACAGCAGGTGGCAAAACCACTGAGCTAAATCCCCAGCCCTCTCCCATACTTTTAATAAAGTAGTTATAAAAGTGAACATGTCTAAGAATCTATTTAAAGAAAAATAAAGTTCTATATCTTGCAAACCCAAATACAATGAACCACGATACATATCAGCTACCTAAGGAAAAATATTCAGTATTTTTATGAACATCTATCAACTATATTTAGATAATTAAATGTTTACAATAAAAGGATATGGAGTTTTGGGATATAAATTTCGCCATGTTCTATTCCTGCCTTTAGTAATTTAAAACACCACAGACCCACCTAGTTAGAAAAAATATACTATTTGTTTTTGAATATAACTTCAAAAATTACTGCTGAGTGTAGTGGTGCACACTTATAACCCCAGAACTCTGTGAGGCTGAGGCAGGAGAGTCACAAGTTTAAGCCCAGCCTGAACAACTTAGTGACTTAGCATGATGCTATCTCAAACTATAAAGGGGTGGTGATGTAGCTCAGGGGGGAGCCCCTGGGTTCAATCTCCATTATGAGGGGTTTTAAGAAACAAACAAAACAAAAAACCTCTCTTCAAACAGACATTTGATAAGTATAGATCAACAAGCAGGGGCAGGAGGAGTAGATCAGTATGAGGTCACTATGAACCAGACTGTTTATACTGTGCTCTCAGGAAAGCAGATGATGCTTACAGCGAATAAATAAGAGCTTTAAAAAAACCACCAAGTGTATTCTCCTGTCTTACAGTGATATATGGGTGTAGGTGTGTGTTTGTGTTTCCACGTATATATTTTCATATGTGTTTATGTGTAAAGAAAACAAAAACAAATCTACTTCAGGACCGACCTTTGCAAATTATTCCTGTTAATACAATATGAAAATACTTCCAAAATCAGTAGAGAAATATAAAGGACATTTTGAAAAAAATTAAATGATCTTCATAGTGATATTCCTACATCTGAATTCCATGTAACAAAATTTCTAAATAGTTAATCCATAATATAACTTTGCAAATGTATTAAAAATTTGGGGGGGGGGGGGCGAGACCGAGGGCGGCGCAGCCGAAGCGCTGGTGGAGAAGCGCGCGGCCGAGAGCCTGGAAGGAGGGAAAGGAGGAAGAGGGGGGCAGGCAGGCTGGCGGGCGCGGAGGTCGGGGACTGAAGCAGCAGAGGCAGGCGAGAACCCGGCCGCCGCTCCGCGCTGTTGCTGCGCGGGCTTCTGGAGGGGCGGCCGCTCAGCCGTCTGAGGGGAAGCGGCACCGGCGGCGCTGGCGCTGTTGCCTGGGGGCGGGGGACCGGAGCGGCGAGAAGAGGGTCGCTGCAGAGCGTCTTCCCCGCCGCGCTCTCCGGCCCAGTGAGCTCCTCCCGGGGTCTCCCTGGCCTCAGGGGCCCCGCTCCCCGCCCCGCGCGGTATGTCTTGATTCCGAGCGGCGGGTTTCATGGGGCTCCTTAGGATTATGATGCCGCCCAAGTTGCAGCTGCTGGCGGTGGTGGCTTTCGCGGTGGCGATGCTCTTGCTGCTGAACCAGGTCCAGAAGCTGGAGAAGTCCCTGTCGAAGCTGGAGCAAAAACTGGCATTAGGAAACGAAATTGAGGTCGGCGTCAGAGTCGGCGTCAGCGTTGGCGTCCGGGTCCCCATCCCCGTCCCAGCCTGCTCTCCCGAGTCCGCGGCGGCTGTGCGTGACCGGATCTCCTGCGCCTTCAGGCCGTCCACGACAACCAGATCCTCATCGTCATTGGCGAGGCCGGGTCCGGGAAGACCACACAGATCACC